ATGAGTAAGTGAAACAGTTGCTGCAGAAACCAAAGATTACATAGCCTTCAATATGGATTGAATCTCAACATCAAGAAACCAAAAATTCTCAGCAGTGGGTCAATAGGCAGCATCACGATTGATGGAGCAAGAATTGAAGTTGTTAATGATTTAATCTTACTCAGAATCACAATCAACCCTTGACACTAGTAGTCAAAAATTGGGTTGGTTTCATAAGTTCCATCAGCAATTAACTTCCATTGATTTTTAAGGCAGTAAATTGTAACAAGAGGATACTATGCATTTTATTTCCTCAAAGCCTCAAAGCTTCTGGTAAATTCAAACCACTAGAGATGATGCAGATTTTATTTTATATAACAATAAAACACCCTATATAAGCACCAATAAAACTGTTCCACTAGAAAGAAAAGGAGGGAGAGAAATGAGAGAGAGAGAGAGAGAGAGAGAGAGAGAGAGAGAGAGAGAGAGAGAGAAGAAATCGAAAGGTAAGCAGCATTGAGAAAATCTCCTGTCAAGGAATTCTCCAGTGTGATAAACAGCAAAGATGTCAGTCTAACAACTAAGCTGTACCTGATCCAAGTTATAGTCTTCTCAGTCGCTTGCTGTGCATCTAAAAGCAAGACAACGAATAAAGATGCTAGAAAAAGAATCAACACCTTTGAACACCTTTGATTGCGGTGCTCATGAATTGCCAAAAAAAAAAACCAGAGTGAAACCAGGTTGTTCCATGTAGGAAAAGATTTTGAAACTCTGTATCACACGTTTGAGCATGTTGTCAGGTAGGACCAATCCTTAGAGAGTGATAACATGCTTGGAAGGAGAAAAGTTTAGTGCAAGGAAGGAAGATCTTCAATGAGGTAGACTGACAGTGACTGTGGCAATGGGATAAGGTGTGTCAGAGATGATGAGATTGGCTCAGGATAGGGCAAGGGTCAGAGTTGTCATTCATAAAGTCACTATGAGTACTATTTGACCTGATGGCTCAAAATACATAACAACAACAACCATTACCAATTATAAACAACACCATTTAACCAAGTCAGTCACGTAAAAATTTTACAATGAGTAATTTTAACAGTTTTACTAATTAATAGAAAAAAACCCCAAACACTGGTTAATGATTTTGAAATTTTGGTTTGGTAGATATCATTCTTTTAAATAAGTACGCAATAATGTAAGATTTTCCTAGCCACATATCCTTTGATTAATACTGAAAAACTTTGCTTTACTTTTAGCTAATTTCCCAAATAAGACTCAGGCAGCAAGCCCCAATTATTATAGTTAACATACCCAAGAAAACAGTAATACATATCTAGTTTTTTTTAAAAAAAAGCAATTTTGATACTTTATTTGCGTATTTATACTTCTTTGTTGATATTGGTTTAAATTTTAATTTGTGAGCTTCAGAATGACTTGTAGCCTATTCACTGTCAATCACTTGCAACCCTATTCACTGTCATTCTACTAGATCAACTAAACTCCAAGTATACTGTAGAGTTTAATTTATATCTATTACTCAATTCAAGTTAAAACAAAATCTTACAGCATTTTGATTTTTTTTAATAAAAAAGACAATAGCAATTCTTTAAATGGTATGTACTATGGCCTTTCATGCCTATTAAGGAAAGAGTGTTTTCCTTGGTGAATTATATGGAGTTAGATGAAAATCTAGGAAACAGCATGCTAAATTTATTTTTACATTGTGTTTTAGATGATGACATTTTTAAATGAAATATAAGCAGATTTACAGATATATGAAAAGAGAAATAATAAAGTATATAGAGTAACAGACACAACAAAAAGATTTCCATTCTTTCAGATTCAATATCCCATAATGTTCCTTCAACAGGTAGGTTTCTTCCCTCTTCAGAACCTCCTTTTTTCTTCCTGGAACTCTTCTTTCAAAGAGACTTCATGAATTGCTCCCTCAATTCAAAATAATGTTTCCTTCTGAACTACATGATTGAAAACAGCAACCTACCCCAATTTATCATCTTCTTATTTTGCATATTTTTTCCATTTATAACTAAGTAACAGCCTACACAGTGTCATTTAATTTTTGTGTGTCTTACAAACTAAAATTATTAGTGTTTTGCTCAACACTGAATTTCTGATCTAAACTAAGGTCTTTAATTATTTCCTTTGCATCTTAAATTTGAATAATGAGTAATCATGACAGAAGAACTGATGCCTTTGAATTGTGGGTGTTAGTGAAGAGTACTGACTATCCTACAGACTGCCTGGGGAACAAACATGTTTGTTTTTGAGGAAGTGCAAACATCGGGCTCCATGAAGGCAAGGATTGTGAAACTTCATCTAACATGCCTTAGGTATGTTTTCAGAAAGGGCTAGTCCTTGGAAAAAGATATTATACTGTCAAAAGTGGAAGTACAGAGAAAGAGAAAAAGATTTCTCAAGATGTATTGACATAGTGACTGTAACAATAGACTTAAGCCTGGAACAGATTGTGAGAACAAAGCAGGATAGAGTAAGGTTCACATTTCTTTTCATAGGGTCTTTATGAGACATGGTTTGCTTGATGGCACAAAACAACAACATTAACAACACAACAGTGGGCTTGGATTATAGTAAATTTTCAATATCTTTATTTCTATCTCAATACAATCTTACATGTTGAAGAAATGAAAGAGTAAAATTGTATTGAATCCAAATATTTAGGACAAATTAAAGTCATCTAATACACATAAAATATATTTTATTTTATATGCACGCACATATATCTCAAAAGCAAAATATATTAATATATATCATAATGCATATTTTCAGTTTTATATTGAATGCTCAATTGTTTTTTTTGGGCATAAGGAAGCTGACACGTCTTTAAAAATTATGTTAATCCTATTACATTGTTTTAAATTAATTTGATAAATCTTTGGATAGAAATGTTTTTTGTTTTGATTTTATAAATTTATTTTGATCGATCTGTAAGTTCTATGTTATGATTCCTAATATTTTATGGGAGCTCTGCTGATTTACTGGTAAGGAATTACACTATCAATCCTAAAGTATGTTATTCAAATCCCCCAGCTGCTTCCTGAAAGAAAGATGGGCAATCTCTGTGGACAATATTTACTGCCTCTGAAATACAACCAGAAGGTCAGCTGTGAGTCAATTCCAACTTCATAAAACATAACAACAACATACATTTTATTAAAATGGCACTTTTTTAGTACTTTTAAAAAATTCAGTTATAAAAATTAATGAATGCTACATATGATAGTTCAAAAATTAGTTTGAATATGTAACCTTCAATAAAGAAAAGCCTCTACTTTGTAATATCATAAATGAAACAAACCGAAGCAACAAAAATATTTTAAACTTCTAGAAAAATAATATCAAGATGACAAAAGCCATAAGTTTGAAATTTAAAAAAGTTTGTAATCATTCCAAAATCAAGATGCCATGCTGTCATTTCTACCACAGAAAATGATTAACAAACTGAAAATGGTTACAAGATTCTTTATTTTGTAAACTATACATAAACAGTAAAAAAGACAATGCATTGTACTATACATATTACGTAAGGTCAATACTGAATTTTTTTAGCAATGTGGGTAGTTCAGGGCAGTCCCCAGGGCATGAAAAATATCCATTTCTCAGTGTGTTTTTAAGCTGAGTTTATAAGAGTGTCATCTTCTTAGTTTGCCTTACGTTCCTGTAAGAAAAGGCTCACAGCCTTTACCATGTTTTAAAATCTGCACTGCAGCAGGTGAAGGTGATTTTGATGATTTTTTAAAAATACAGATTGGTTCAATTGTTTCAAGTAAGGGTAAACGTATATAATATTAAAAGGCAGGTGCAAATTGTCCCTAAGCCTGACCTTTAGAACCTCAGGATTTACAGCAGGAATTAAATGGAATATGTTCACTTGCTTTCAATAAATTGAATTTTGGGAAATCAGTTGACCCACTATTAAAAGTAAGGATTCCAATATGTAAAAATTAAATAGATTTTTCGCATTTTTTATTACGGGAACAAAACCAAAGTCTGATATACTCAAAAGTGAAGGTGTGCCAAAATGTCTACACAATTAATTAACATGCTAACTTAAATACAACAAAGAAATTTTTTGCTATAGTTAAATGCTACTCTACACAATAATCATAAACAAGCCCACATGGTAATTATGTAACAATAAGAAAAGTAAAAGAAAGAAACACAGTCCATTGTCTTCATTCCAACAGCAGTGTCTCTTACTAGCGTTATTTTGGTAATTAGGTGTGCTTCTATATTGCCTAATATCCTATGTTGGTATGCATGCTAAACCTTTCTATTTCTATCTTGCAAGGCACCATACAATACTTTCTCTAAGTTTCAGAACTAGTAATTAAAAATGAGATGATTCTAATATAAAATGAAATTCTTATCTAAAATAGGTAATAAAATGAGAATCCAGATTTAAAAATTTAACCTTAGGGTGAATAACACTTTTATTAGTATGTGAAAATATGATAAAACTAAATATTTCCCACTGTCTTCTGACTTTGACTTTATACCCTAAATTGTTGGTCAGAATGATAAAGAAATCTAGAAAGGTAAAGAAATCATGCTACTAAAAATAAAATCTATATAAGACTATCATCCAAATTAAAACAAAAAGTTTACAGGATAGCTCAACTTTTAGCTAAGAATCCATGGTTTTCAAATTTTCCATTTTGTCAAATATCCTGTCATATTCAGAAAAATCTCATGAGTTTATCCACAATAATAAAAGCATCACTATTAATTTAAATACAATGAACATCTACAATTTCTTTATAACAGTGTGTTTTTTCCCTGACTCATCTTTTATTCATTCTATGTTTGGGAGGTGCTACCTTGAAGCTGTAGTTTAGGACATGTATAATTGTGTTTGTGGGGTCCAGGTCAATAAGTTAACATAAATTTAACTTAGAATATCTCTCTGTAAAATAGTGCATTTTGTCTAAGGGATGAATTATCTTTCTGTCTGTGGGAATTCTAAAACACGCTCTTATAACAATTTGTTTGTTAATAAGCTCTTCATAACTTTCATTTTTATCTCTGGCTAGACACTATGCGTTTTCTTTCTCTTTTAAGTCATATAAAGTTAAAAGTAATTATTCTTACTTAAACATAAAATTCTAAGACTTTAGCTATAATATTTGAATTAATTATACAAAATATATGTGAAGTTTAGAATCATGGTATTTGGGCAATAAGGTAATTTTTCAATAGACTATCATTTTGTAAATGTTAGAAATGTAGAATGTATTATTGATCTCAGCTCCCATCAATCAAATATAACCATCATCACCATGGTCATCACCATCATCATCATCATCCCCTTCATCTTCATCATCATCTTCAATTTCATCTTCATCATTCATAATATCATCATCATTATCTTCATCATCAGTCCATTCATGGAAGTCTCCACTTGGAAAATCCCCAGAAATCTCAAAATCTATAGCTAAAAAAAAAAGATTAGCTTTATTGATTGAATCAGTAGGCTAGTTATTGAGAAAGCTAACTTTCTGATGAATATTTATTAAATGCATGTAGTTTTAATATCTTTAACAACGATAAGAAAATATAAATTCAAATAAAAATTTTAACATGTCGCATATATATGCATATTATTAAAATGTGTGTTAGTAAGTATAATTGTCACTTAAATGTAAAAAATACTAACTGTTCAGTTACTTTATTATAGAAATCCCTATCAAACAATGAATTATACAAAAAAATTAAAATCCTACTAATAGTATGTTTGGCAGAATAATTTGTCTCATAAACACATTTTATTATGGCAAATTGCCTATTATGCTCACATGGCACTTTTAAGTGTCCCAAATAGTATTTGAAGAAGATCTAACTACGGAATTGTCAGAATAATGCAAGTGAAAGAGATGAATGAAAAGAGTTACGGGCCAAAAAATGTAAATGTTCTTAAATCAAGCACCCAATCAACAACTACAAACCCTTTTCTGTTGAGTAAATATTGACTCAGTAACATTGTAAAACAGTTCATGAAGTTTTCAAGGATAAAATTTTTACTGTAATATTTTAATGCCACAAAAGATAGTGGGTTAGAATCATTATTTGGTTGGTAGGTAGGTGTATGCTTAACCATGGCTCAGAGTTTGCCTCTAGGAAGTGCAAAAGAAAATGTACAAATTTTCTTTTAGCATACCTAGAGGTATTAGGGATCTTTTTATTTGTAGCACTTCAAAGACAGTTTAAGCTCATACACACCGAAATGTAAAATAGTAATTTGCACCAGTGGGTTTACTAAGTGGTAATTTATCATTTAATTAGAACACTACTAAAAGTAGTCAAATGTTTAATATATAGCCAAAACCATGAATATTTATAGAGACAATATACATTTATCTAAATATATGTTAACTTTTCAATGTATCTAATGTTCATGGGTGTTTATTTTCTACTCTAATAATTTAACTATGTAATCTTTTGTTAGCTAATTAAGAGAAGTCCATTAATGAAATTCAACATTTATAAATTTAATAATTTCATAATGCATCACACTGCCATTTCTATATAAGAAAACGTTATTTGTATTCTTTAATTTTAGGTATTTTTCATAATAACCACAAAGTGCTAAAATGACACATAAAAATAAACAAAACAACTCTTCTATGTACTTATTAAATCCATTTGTATGTGATTTTAATCTCTAACACGAATTCCCCGCATTTATTTGTCATTGGTATGACTAATCACTTAAATGATTCAGAGTAAGCCAATTTAAAAGACAATTGTTGTTTGTTGTTGAATTGACTTTAACTTATACTGACCCTATGTATGCAGAATAGAACTGCTCCATAGGATTTTCAAGTCCATAACCTTTCAGAAGGAGATAGCCAAGTCTGTGTGCTGAAATGCATGTGGATTGAGTCAAATCCCAATTAATCAGCAGGTAGTTGAGTGCTTAATCATTTGTGTCAACCAAGGACTCTTAACTTGAAAAATTATTAAATATACATACACATACACATGCCCTAATAAAATAAATATTCTAAGAAATACTATAATGTTATATTTGGTATCTCAAAAGGATTATTTTCCTCCTATTTAAATTCAATCACATCAATCATGTTATAAAATGAAAATAAAGCTATTAAAATACTACAGAATTAACAAATAGAGCACAGAAATTAAATCAATAAATGAGATCACTTTTACCACTTGCTCACCACTTGTATTTTCTCATGTAATATTAGTTTACTTAACACATTAAAGAATCAAAATCTTTTTTCAGTAAGAAGGTCTGCTTTCAATTTTGCCGATTTTAATTAGTCAAAAATAAAATCTACTAATTCCTAGAAATAAAAGAGATAAAGAGACAATTTCAATGGGCAGCTCAAAAAGCTAAAGAACATAAGAGAATGCGCAAAGAGTAGAATAAGAAAATTAAAAAGGGATGATCTTGCTTAACATTTCTTAAATGAGAGAACCAAAAATCAAATAAAAATCCTGAGTTATAATAATAATGACAAGTGCTATGGGCAAAAGATTTACTAATTCAGGAAGCATCAAAGAAGAAGGAAGTAACGCCAGCACTGTACCAAAAATAATCAGTTGGCCTGGACCATTTCGGGAATTAGTGTATAATGAAGAACCAATGGTAATGAAAGATGAAGTTCAAGCTGCACTGAAAGCATTAAAAAAAAAGTAAGTCTCCAGTAATTGATAGGATACTAACTGAAATTTTTCAACAAATAGATGCAGTCCTAAACTTGCTTGTGAAGCTGGCCAAGAAATCTAGAAGACCATGTTACTGACGAGAAGAGATCTGCATTTGTTCCCATTCCTAAGAAAGAAGATCCAACAGAATGCACAAATTATAAAAAAAAATCATTAATATCACAAGCAAGTAAAATATTTCTGATGATTATTTAGAAAATAAACAAACAAAAAACAAAACCTTCCAGAATAGTACATGCGCAGAGAACTTCCAGAAATTCAAGCTGGATTTAGTAGAAGTCATAGTCCCAGAGATAAAATTGCTAATATCAGATGGATCTTCGCTAATAGAAGAAAATACTAGAACACATTTGACTAAGTGGATTACAACAAATTATGGCTAAACATGGAGGAGAATGGGAATACCAGAATATTCTACTGTGCTTAGGTAAAAGCTATACCAAGAATATTTTGTACAAATAGAGCAAGGGGACACTGAGTGGGTTAAAATTAAGAGTGGGGTTCACCAAGATTTTAAAAATTGCCCCAAGAATTGACAGAACACCAACTGAAATATTTCAAAAGGAGGCTCACTAGGTTGTGCCAGGAAAACTGGAGGGAAATAACCTGACCAACATACTGAAGAGATTCATATTTATTCCAATTCTCCAAAATGTGACCCAACACTATGTGGAAATTATCGAACAATATCACTAATATAATATGCAAGCAAAATTCCGCTGAAGATTATAAAAAAATGACTGGAACAGCACATTGACAGAGAACTACCAGAAATACAAGCTGGGTTTGAAAGGGACTGTAGTAATAAAGACATTACTGCCAATGTCAGGTGAATCTTGGCTGAAAGCAAAGAATACTAGAGGAAAGCCTAACTAGGTTTCATTGACTAAGGCATTTGACTGTGTGAATCACAAGAAATTGTGACTTATTTTGAGAAGAACAAGAATCTTAGAGTACTTGATATGCTCATGTTAAACTTTTACTTACACCAAGAGCAGTGGTCAGAACAGAACCAAAAAACATTGCATGATTCAAAATAAAGAAAGAAGTGTGTCAGAGATGTATCCTGTCTCCATAAGCTTTCAATCTATATGCAGAATAGATCATTTAGAAGGCCGGACTTTATAAGGAAGACTCATCAGCAAGTTGCTTTAGGTAATGATACAACCTTGCTGGCCAGAACTGAGGAAACCTTGAAGAGCTTGCTGATGAAAATCAAGGACTGCAGTCTTCAATATGGATTCAAGCTCAACATCAAGAAAACAAAGGTTTTCACCACTAGACCAATTGATGAACCATGATATATGAAGAAGAGATTAAAGTTGTTAAAAATTTTGGCTTGCTTGGCTCCACAGTAGATATTCTTGGCACTAGCAGTCTGGAAATCAAAAGATGAAATCTTAGGGAAATCTGCTGTAAGGAACCTCTCCAAAGTGCTAAAGAGTGAAAATGTCAGCCTAGAGACTAAGGTTTGCCTGACATAAATCATAGCCTCTGCAATTATTTGCATCACAAAGCTGGGGAGTAACTAAGGATAACAGAAGAATAATTGATGCATTGGGTTGTGGTGCAGAAGAATATTGAGCACCATGGATCACCAATAGAACAAAAGGGTCTGTCTCAGAGAGGGTGAAATCAGCTGTTCTTTGGAGACAAAGATTTTTAAGCTCCAGTTTACATACTTTGGATGGGCATGTTTCCAGGAGAGACCAGTTCTTAGAGAAAGACATTATACTTGGATGGGTAGAGAGACAGTGCAGGATAGGAAGACCCTAGATGAGATGAATTGACACAATAACTAGGATAATTTGGGTAGGTGTGTTGAAGACAGTGGGACTAGCTTAAGAGATGGCAGAGTTCAGAGCTATTGTACATAGAATCTCTATGAGTTGCAAGCAACTCGATGACACATAACAACAACTATACAGTTTTGTGTTGCCCACCTTAGAGCAAATGTTGTTGTTGTTGCTGTGACTTCTGTGTACATTAGCTCTGCAAGCTTCCCTATCCTGAGCCTATTTCATCATCTCTGATAGACCTAATCCCATTACAATCCATCTCATATCCTGGGTCTTTCACTCCTGTGCTGTCCCTCCACCTTTCCAAATACGGTGTGCCTCTCCAAAGAGTGGTTCTTTCTGGTCATGTGCCCAAAATATGTGAGATGGGGCCCCAAAATCCTTGTCTCCAGAAAGCAAACTGGTTTCACCCTCTCTAGGAGAGATCTGTTTATTGTCCTGGCAGTTTACAGTATGGTCAACACTCTTCTCCAACTCCATAACTCAAAGACACTGATCTTAGTCTCCATACTGACATTTTTGTTCTTCAGTACTCTAAAGAGGCCCCTGACTTTTGACTTGCTAAATGTGATTTATCTATTGATTTGTAGACTACTGGTGCCAAGATTGTTGATTATAGAACCAAGCAAGCTGAAGTTATCAATGATTTCAATACCTTCTCCACCCATTACGAAGGTACCAATAGGTCCAGTAGTGAGAATCTTTGTTTTATT